CAGAACTGGCTTTTCCAAGGTTCAGGTGATGTAACCAGACATTATCTATCTATCTATCATCTATCTAGCTAGCTATCATCTATCTCTCTATCATCTCTCTATCATCTATCTATCATCTATCATCTATCATCTATCAATCTATCAATCTATCATCTATCTATCTATCTATCTATCTATCTATCATCTATTTGGCTATCTATCTATCTATCTATCTATCTGTCTATCATCTATCTATCATCTGTCTATCTATCTCTCCGTGGACAGAGGTGGCTGCTGGGGGCAGGACGAGGGGCTGGGAACCCAGGGTTTTGGAGGCTGAGCCACCCCACCGGCAGGGGGAGCACCTGAGCATCAGTAGAGGACCCTCGCTGGCATGCTTTGGCTTTAAAAATCCTTCGCATGATGGGCATGTTTGACAGAAGAGAAGGATTTCAGTACGATTGATACAGATGGGGTGCACCAAGTAATACATTTTCTTGGGGTCTCCTAAGGTGGGTCCCTCTTGCCCCTCTCCCCCAACCCTCCCCGATCACGTATGGCAGGAATGGTTGGGGGCATGTCCGTGGTGGCACTCAGCTCTTCGGCTCTTTTAAATGTCTGCCACGTGGAATCCCGTTTTGGGGTGGCTGGTCTAAGTCCAGAGAGGCCTCGCTTTGTAGGGAGCGCTAAATCCCACTCTGCCAGGGCTTCCCTGGTGGCGCAGTGGTTGAGAGTCCGCCTGCCGATGCAGGGGACACGGGTTCGTGCCCCGGTCCGGGAGGATCCCACATGCCGCGAAGCGGCTGGGCCGCTGGGCCTGCGCGTCCGGAGCCTGTGCTCCGCAACGGGAGAGGCCACAACAGTGAGAGGCCTGCGTACCGCAAAAGAAAAAAAAAAATTCCCACTCTGCCAGCCTTCAGGCTGGTTGAGCTGTGTATTTATTTACCTTCACTTATTAAAGTCATGTGACTTTCAAGTTGGAGAAGAATTTTGAATTCATCAAGTCGGGCTCTTCCTTATTACTACTGAGAAAGCAGAGACTTGGAGAGATTAGGTAACTTGATCAGATTCACCCCTCCCACTAATTCAGGGTGACAGAAAGCAGGTCGGGGGTTTCCTGGGGACAGCGGGGGGAGGGATCACAAAGGGCATAAGGAAACTTCAGGGGGTAACAGATGTGCTCCCCATCTTGACCGTGGGTGTAGTTTCACGGGGGTATATATGTATCGAAACTCATCGAAGTGCGCACTTCAGATACATGCAGTTTAGTGTATGTCAGTTATCCCTCAATAAAGCTGTTAGAAAAAAGTCTCACGTCCGGTGAGAGGCTGAGCAGGGACCAGAGCACAGCCTGGAGGCCTTCACACTTCCCCTGAAGCCCTCAGCGGTCTTAAAACGAAAGCCTATTATTGCAAGTTGTGAAAACGCCTTTTCCCATAATGCCATTTTTTCCTTTTTTGAATGAAAATTTTTTAAAAAATATGGAAGTATAGTTGCTGTACAATATTATGTAAGTTACAGGCGTACCATGTAGTGATTCACAATTTTTAAAGGTTATACACCATTGGTAGTTATTATAACATTTTGGCTATTATAAAGTATTCCCCATATTGTACAATATATCCTTATAGTTTGTTTGATACCTAATAGTTTGTACCTCTTAATCCCCTAGCCATATTGCCCTTCCCCTCATACCCCTCCCCACTAGTAATCACTAGTTTGTTCTCGGTATCTGTGCGTCTGCTTCTTTTTTTGTTACATTTACTAGTTTGTTGGAGTTTTCAGATTCCACATATAAGTGATATCACACAGTATTTTTCTTTCTTTGTCTGACTTATTTCACTAAGCATAATGCCCTCCATGCCCATCCATGTCACTGCCAATGGCAAAATTTCATTCGTTTTTAATGGCTGAGTAATATTCCATTGTACATATGTACCACATCTCTATCCATTCCTCTGTCGATGGACATTTAGGTTGCTTCCATATCTTGGCTATTGTAAATAGAGCTGCTTTGAACATAGCGGTGCTTGTATCTTTTCGAATTAGTGGGTTTTTTTCTTTTGGATAAATACCCAGGAGTGGAATTGTTGGGTCATATGGTAGTTCTGTTTTTAGTTTCTTGAGAAACCTCTATACTATTTTCCATGGTAGCTGTACCAATTTACATAATTGTCATTTTTAAAAGATCCATAGCTCCAAATTTTCTATAATGAAAAACAGTACTGCCCTTAACAAAAAACGTTGCAGATGCCATTTACTAGTTCCAGCCTGACCTGCTCCACAGGTAGACAGAACTGCACCCCACGGAGTTGGGAAGAGGGTGGGGACAGAGGGAGGCGTGATCTTGTTCTGTTTTCCTGTGTTTATCTCTAGCCGTGCTTGTGAAAAGTATCACCTCTGGATGCATCCAATTCATTTAATTTAGGAGAAAAAAGATAAGGATGGGATTTTTATTCTAGGACTGTACTTGGTGGTGGTACCTGGTAGCCCCTGCTGGGCCAAAATAGTTTCCAAACAATCCCCAGCAGGAAACCTTCCAGAAAAGTTCCCCAAAGTTCCTCTTTTTCTCCCTCTCTCCCAGGTCAAGCACTCAGAGCCACACTAGGTGTGGTCAGCTTCTGAGGGTCTCAAGTAGCTTCTTCTGGAGAAGGTGAAAGGCAGGGAGAAGCGTTAAGTGTGGGCTACGTATGGTTCCACCTACACTTCCTTCCCTTTATTGCTGAACTGGCCCTGACCAGTGGGTGTGCAGAGAGGGTCTGTCTGCGGGCCCACTGTGCTCACTGCGTGGAAATTAAGGCCCTCTGAGTTCCCTCCCAGAATATGTTTTCATGAGCTATTGCCTCTCTCAGGGGAGCTAGGAAGAAACATTCATGCATCTAAGTTTTTTTTTTTATATATATGATTTTTTAGACTCGCCAGCGTAATACACACTTGTGATAAAATGCAAACGAGACAGAATTATATGAAATGCAGACATGGCCCAGAGCACGGGCAGTGGCCCAGGGAGTCAGGTGAATTCAGCATGACTTCTGTCTGAGTCAGGGAGACGCCTGTGCGGGCTCGGTGCTGTCCCCGAGCTGTCCCGAGTGCTTGGGGACACAGAATCAACTCCGAGATCTGTGCTCCGGGTTTCCACGCTATCGAAGACGTTTAAGCCATGGTGTTGCTTCTTCACGATTTCCCACCAGGGAAGCCCCATACTTGCTTTTTTGGGTCAGTCTTTTTATTGAGGTATAGTTTACAGACAATGTCATGCTCCAATTTTAAGAGTACAGTTGGATGAGTTTTGACAAACATGATTACCTGTGTATAACCATCACTCCCATCCAGATATAGAGCATCTTAAACAACAAGGATTTACTGTATAGCACAGGGAACTATATTCGATCTCTTGTAATAAGGTATAACAGAAAAGAAACTGAAAAAATAGACCAGGCAGCTGGCCCAGCAGGGACTTCAACGTTCCTTCTTTATTCTTCACGTCCTTTCTTTCGTTAACCAACATCTTACCAATTCCCCGTAGAATTTGCTTTTCCCCTAAACACTTCTAAACATTTTAAAAATTTTTAATTGTTGGGCTTCCCTGGTGGCGCAGTGGTTGGGAGTCCGCCTGTCGATGCAGCGGACACGAGTTCGTGCCCCAGTCCGGGAAGATCCCACATGCCGCGGAGCGGCTGGGCCCGTGAGCCATGGCCGCTGAGCCTGCGCGTCCGGAGCCTGTGCTCGGCAACGGGAGAGGCCGCAACAGTGAGAGGCCCGCGTACCGCAAAAAAAAAAAAAAAAAATTTTAATTGTTTTATTGGAGTATAGTTGAGTTACAATGTTGTGTTAGTTTCAGGTGTACAGCAAAGTGATTCAGTTATACATATACATGTACTACCTATTCTTTTTCAAATTCTCTTCCCATTTAGGTTATTACAGAATATTAAGCAAAGTTCCCTGTGCTGTACAGTAGGTCTTTCAGGATTATCTATTTTATTTTATTTTTGCCATAAATGTCCTTTTTCTAAAAAATAATTTTTACTGCAGTATAATCGTTTTATCTATTTTAAATATAGTGGTGTATATATGTTAATCCCAAACTCCGAATCTATCCCTTCCCCCCGCTTTCCCGTGCCTTGTCGCCCTTCCTAACCGAAGTCCCACCCTCCTTAAGGGCTCGCCCTCGGACACAGAGCCTCCCACGCGGGTCCCAGTCGCGCGGGGCTCACCTGCGGCTCCGCGGGCCCCGGCGGAGCCTGACACCGCCCCCTGGCGGCAGGTGGGCGCCGGCGCGGAGCACGCCCGGCGCGCGGCGCGGCGCGCTGATTGGCCGGCGCGGATTCGGGCAGCTTCCCGAGGGCGCGGGCGCGCGGGTCGGGGACGCCGACGAGCAGCACAACCCAGCCCGGGTACGGGGACGCCGGCGCGCTCTCCGGGGGCTTCCTCTTCCCTCCGGTTGTGTCCAGGTTCTGCGTCCGCCAGGGTCCAGGATGACAATCCGACACCAAGGCCAGCAGTACAGGCCGAGGATGGCATTTCTGCGGAAGGTGAGCGCGGTCCCATCGCCCGGGCCCGGGAGGGGCGCGGGGACCAACTCTGGGAAGTGCCGGCGGCGATGTGGGCAGAGGCGGGGGGCAGCCCTTGTGGTCGGTTAGTGCCGCTTGATGTCATTAAGTGACTTATTTGCCTTGTGTTTCTGTCTGTCCGTCTTTTAAAGACTCTAATGGTTAGGTTTCCTTGTTACCTGTTTATAGTGGAGAATCTGCAGCCGAGGGCGACTGCCGGCTGGAGGCTGAAAACAACCTGTTACTTGGGAGAGCAGGCGCAGGAAGGCAGTTCAGCGAGGCTGGGCCAGATTTGAGAGAGTCTCCTGATGCTGTTAGAGGCTCCCAGATGTTAAATGAACATGTTTTTGCTGTTTTTCTGATTCAGCGCTGCAGTATTTGAAAGCGTGTGTGTGTGGTGAGTGTGTACACATAGACCGTGAAAACAGTGTGATTTGCAGGCTAAAGGGCCACCCCGCTTGCCGCGCTCCTAGATTCCTTATTCAAGCGTGTGTATTTGTGGATCTCAGGTCTCTCTGTGCGCAGCGGAAGCCAGGACCCTCCCCATGCAAAGGCTTTTCTCAGAGCAAGTGGCTGGGCACAGGGGGTGTCCATGCTGGGCACTTGTGCGGGGTGGAACGCACCTTGTGTGGTGATGTATTTGGGGATGAAATGGCTCATTTTGTTATGGGCTTTTGAGATGACCGGTATCAGAAGGGGTCAGCAGAGGATTAGGTCCTGGGTCGCTTGCCCGCCCTTCCTCCCACTTGCAGCCACTTTTCACAGTGTGGTGGCCCCCGTCTTAGGCTTGTCTTGAGCAGAATTAGCTGAATGCTTTGTGACAGTAAGAGCCCTGCCCTGAGCCCTTGGAGCGCAGCAAACTGGCGTAGTCAAAACTGTCCTGATTTGTCTAAGGCTTTCAATGCTAAAACCTGGACAGTCCCGGGCACATTGGGACAGTTGGTCACCCTCGGTCCACCTACTTCAATAAGCTTGTGCGTATTCCAGGTGGTAGAGGAGTGAGGATATAAAAACAGAGGTGGAGTGTTGTCTCGCTGGGAAAGAACCCTGAGAGCCTCTACTGCAGACACCACCTCCTAAAATCAGAGAAAACTGCCCAGACTGGATCTCTGAGAGCCCTGAGAGCCGTCAGTCATCTTCCAGGATTTCCCAGGACTGCCTTCTTCTGCCAGACAGGGCAGCTCTGGTGCTGAGGCGCTGAGAGCAATTGTCTGGAGACATTCTGTTTGTTTCTGAGCCTCAGACATTGTGTTTCATCCTGACTGTTACGTGGTGGACATTCCTGTCTTTACCTGGGCCTTCTGACTGGTGTCTTGGTCTCCAGCCCATCCTGCTCCACCGCTGCCTCCTCTTTTCCACCCCAGCCTCCTGTCTTCCACCCCACCTGCCGGCCTCCACAATACCATTCATCGGCATGTTGGGTTTCTTTCGCAAACCGACGCGGATCCCCTCGCCCTGAAACCCTCCGCTGGTTTCCCCCGTGCACAGGGTGACGTCCAGCCTTCTCAGCCCGCCCACTGAGGACCCTGCTCCCACTCACCCCTCCGGCTTGACCTCCCGCTGGCCTCCCACACCTGCCCTGCAGGGACACAGGACGGAGCAGCCCCCCTCACTCAGGGGGGCTCTGGCCTCAGCGACCTCCTCGTCTTTCCAGGAACCCTGTGCCCTTCAAGCCTCAGATCCCTCCACTGGGAAAGCCCTTCTTCCCCTTCTCACCGGCCGAGCCCCCGTCCCCCCGACTCCCGGGCCCAGCTCGGGGGCCCCTCCGCTGTGACGGCCGGCTCTCCCCACCCCCGCTGCCCTGCAGACCCTGCCCGCACCTCAGCGCTGCTCTCTCCCTTTGCCTTGTTGGATGGAGGGAGACCCCCGTCTGTCTGTGTCTTCCGAGGTCCTCGGTCAGATCACAGAGCAGGTCCCAAGAGCCTGTGCCCGGGGGCCCTCAACCGAGAAGCAGCTGAACTAGGTGCCCAGCCTTTGGAGAGGGACCAGACCTAAGGAATGTGGACTTGGGTGCAACTGGCACCCGCCACTCAGTGGATATTTTTGAAGTAGGCTGTGTCCCCAGTGGGGCCCTTACATGCGTGTTCTCATCTGTTCCATGAGACAGAGTTATCATCACCATTTTACAGAGCGGGAAGCTCAGAGAGGTGAAGTCACTCGCCCCAGTCGTAGCCGCTAAGTGGTGGAACCAGGGAAAATACAGGTTGTCGCCAAATGTGATCCAGTGCTGTAAGCTTTCCTGTGATGTTGGGGGCAGGAGAGGCTGTGGGAAGGCCTGACAGAAGGTGCCTGGGGGACGCGGAGCTGAGAACTGAAGGATAAATGGGGGTTCTAGGCAGAGAGAAAGAAGGCTGTTCCAGGCAGAGGAACGGCGTGCGCTAAGTGCATGTGCGTGTGTGTGTGTGTGTGTGTGTGTGTGTGTGTGTGGGATGCCGCACAGTGGACCGCCTCCCGTGGCCCCTGTGAGCTCCTGTCCTAGTGCTGGCCCGTCCCCCCTCCATCCCCCCCTCTCCCGTGATGTCCAGATCTCCATACCAGCCAGGAACAGCTGTTGCTGCCCTTGGGATGCACCTCAGGTCTGACTGTTTTGGTGCCTCATGGAGAAGCCTCGACTGCTTTGCTTTCCTGTGTGGTTTCCGGCATCTCCTTTTGCTGAGGGGCAAGGGGGTGCGGAAACAAAAGTGAGGAGACCCGGGCAGAGCACGGGATCTTTCGCTTGTATCATTCTTTCATTCAATACGTGCACAGAGCCGTGCGCGTCTGTGCTGGGCGCTGTGCCTGATGCTGGGGACACTGTGGGATTAGGACACGGCCCCTTCCTCCTGGAGCTTAGGGTCTAATAGCGAAGGACCGCTGTATAAGTAAGAAGAATGTTCTGTAGGTCGTGGGAGACGTCATTAGAGGAGATGCACGTATATAAAACGCAGAGCAGGGAGTGGTCAGTGCCATCTGGGGTGGGGACCAACAGCCTTCACAGGGGGGCTTGTAACTGAGTGAAGGTGTGAAAAATTAGTAGGTGGTTTTTTTTTTTTTTGCCGGGAGGATGGGAAGATGAGTGGCATTTGGGGGAATGCAAAGCTTGGAAGTGTGGGATAGCATTGTGCCGTGGGAGAGTCTTCAGGGGTTGGGGTAGCTGGCCGGGGGGCAGGGGTGGGCAGGAAGTTGGTGATGGAAAGGCTGGTAGTGAAGGAGGCTCCAGAACTGGGGGCTTCGCACATCCAGCCGGGGGTCTGACGCTTTCTGTGTTCGCTGAGAAGCCATTTGACGTTTTAAAATCGGGTACGAATAAAACGAGTTGGTTCCCATGTTAGAAAGATGATTCTGATTAGAGGGTAGGAGTGCTTCTCTACCCTGGCTGCGCTTTAAAAAACATTATTATCAGGTCACCTTCCTTAGAGTTTCTCATTTACTTAGGAGACAATTAAGTAGTCAAGTCAGATGGAGTCCAAACATTGTTTTTGTTTTTTTTTTTTTTTAATTATTTATTTATTTGGCCACACCGGGTCTTAGCTGCGGCATGTGGGCTCTAGTTTCCTGACCAGGGATCGAACCCCCTGCATTGGAAGTGTGGAGTCTTAACCATTGGGCCACCAGGGAAGTCCCAAAACATTGGTGTTTTCAAAGAAAATCTTCCTACGGACTTCCCTGGCGGTCCAGTTAAGACTCTGCACTTCCACTGCAGGGGGCAAAGTTTCCATCCCTGGTCAGTGAACTAAGATCCCGCATGCTGTGCGGTGCGACCAAAAAAAAAAAAATATATATGTATACGTATAAAATCAAATGCAGAAAAGCTTCCCAGGTGATTTGAATGCATAGCCCAGAGGAAAGCCCCAGGACATTTGGTGACATCTGGAGACATTTGGTGTTGTCCCAGCTAGGGAGGGGGCTGCCCCTGGCAGCTGGAGGGAAGAGGCAGGAACGCTGCTAGACACCTACGGTGCACAGGACATCCGGCCCCAAATGTCAACAGCACCACCACTGGAGGGCGCCCTGGAGGCTGGGGACCTGCCAGACCCAAGGCAGAGGCCGGGTGGGCCGAGCCGGACGGTCCAGGAGGGAGGTGAGACGTGCCACAGAGGCCTGTTAGGAGACAGGTCAGAAACAAAAGCAGAGTCCGCAGAAGCTGACTGGGGTCATGGAGGATGCTTCCTGGGCTTCAGGCTGGGGTGGCCTAAGCTCTGATCAGAGCGTGTGTGGTGCCCCCGAGGGTCCAAGACGCTTCGGGGTGAGATGGCCCAGGGGTCCGCTGGCCTCTGGGCAGACAGGCTTCATAGTGGGACACGCTTCTGTTTGCCAGACAACCCCATGGTTCCAGGTCACTTGCTCCCTCTCTGTACAGAAAAGTACTGATTATTACCATCCCCCCGGGAAACCTCCGGCTTAGAGGAAAATCCCAGCCCGAGATCTTGCACAGGGAGTAACAGCGAGGGGCAGTGTGGGCGTGTTAGGTGGGTTGGCGAGGCCTTCGGAGCTGTCGTTCCTGTTCCTTGGTGACACGCCTGCAGTCACGCGGAGGCACGTGGCATCCGACGCCCCCATCCCGCCCCCAGCTCGGCGTCACCCGGGGTTCAGCACCGCCCGGTTACCCCGCCGTCCTCGTGTGGCCCAGGATCGCGGGGAGCTGAGAGTGGGAGACGGGAGGGCGCCTGACGTTTGGGGCGGCGGTGGCCGTGCCTCCCTGTCTCCAGAGGGACGCCCACCAGGCACGAGGAGGAGGGCGTGAGAGTTGGCAGCAGTTGGGAGCAGAAAGGCAAGGGCTCCTCACCCTCTGGGGACCTGGGGACACAACTCGGATTGTCCCCTGTCTGTGACGGGCAGAGGGGCTCTTCTGCTGGAAGCAGAGCTGGAGCCCAGAGCCAGCATGACTGGGCTGGGGCCGCCACGGCAGAGCACCGCCGGGCCCAGGCAAGGTGTGCGCAGCGTGCTTTCCGGCGGCCTCTCTCTGGGGCCTGCAGACGCCGTCTTCTCTGCGTGTCCCCACG